TGAAATGTTACAGAAGCTTAAAAAATTACTTGATAAATATTAAAAAGGAGCTGACAGTGAGGAATGACACCATTTGTGTTTAAACACAAACATATTTTTGCTTGCATATCAAATATATCCATAATAATAAATAAGAAGAAAGGTAGGGAAACAATAAATAAATTAAAAAAATGTTGCTTGCGTAAGTGTAGTTGGAATGCTTCTGAAGGATACGGCTGCACTATTATCTCAGTGGTTTGGCAGTTATGAAATGATATAGTCATCTTCTATTTTGTGATCAGATACAGTTATCCTCCATTTGCACCTAACAACTTGGCCTTTAAAATTGAAATGTCAATAACTGAAGAATAAGTCAAATCACATTTAGAGTGATGAAACTTTTGTGATCTCATACACAGCAAATGAAAAGCAAACCAATATAAACTGCAGCATTTATGATCCTATATACATACCAGAAAAGCTGAATTGAAGTGTAATGAGTTTTGAGTAAAACTTTTGAGTAAATAATTTTATGCAATCCTCAGATATTGTCAGAGATTAAAAGTAAAAATGGCTAGCTTAATATTGTGAAAATATCAATACTACCTAAAATGATCTACAGAAACAATAGAATACCAATCCAAATTCCAAATAAATTCTTTAAAGAAATTGAAAAAACTAGTTAACATATACATTCATGTATAAGCCAAGTTTTTCAACACATTTTTAATGCAGTTTTTTGTGGTAAAATTAGGTGCCTCAGCTGATATTCGGGTCGGCTTACACGCGAGTATATATGGTACCAATTTCATATGGGCAGGCAAAAGACCCAAGATAAGCAAAGAACTTCTTAGAAAGAAGAACCAAGTAGGAGGCCTATCACTGCCTGACCTAAAAACCTCCTACATAGCCACAGTAGTCCAAACAGCCTGGTACTGCTACAACAGATAGACCAAGGGATCAGAACAGGAAACCCAAGCATATGTGCATCACCTAGAATTATCAATGGAAAAAAAGGCAGACTCTTCAACAAATGGTGTTGAACAAACTGGATTTTCACTGTAGAAGAATGAAACAAAACCTGTGTCTCTCCCCATGCACAAAAATGAATTCGAGATGGATTAAGGACCTAAATGCAAACTCCAAAGCTGTCCGGGTCTTCAGGGAGAAGGCTGGAACAAACAAAGAAGGGACCCATTGCAGGGCATACACAGACAACCGAGTATGATGAGAAGGCACACACAGCCGAAGACAAGATAGACGACTGGGACACGCTGACATCACATCCCTCATGCACATCGGGAGAATAAAATCAGAAAAAATGTTTACCAACAATACACTGGACAAAGGTCTAATTACCAGAATATATAAAACTCTACAAAGAGCTCAATAAGAAAATAACAAATGAGTCAATCAAGAAATGGGAAAAAGACATGAACAGTTCACCAAAAATGAAGTACAAATGGCTAATAAACACATAAAAAGTGCTCACAATCACTAGCCATCTGGGAGATGCAAATTAAACTCACAATGAGATACCACTTTACACCCCAAATGCTCGCCCAATTCAAAAGCACAGAAATCAACAAATGCTGGAGAGGATGTGGAAAGATTGGAACTCACGACATGGTCAGTGGACTTGCAAATACATACAGCCACAGTGAAAAAAGATACAGTGATGCATAAAGCAACTGGGAATTAAAATATCATGAGACAGCAATACCACTATTAGGCATAAACCCTAAAGAAATAAGAGACAGGACACAAGTGAATATATGCTCTCTCACAGTTGCACAGTTCACAATAGCCAGAAATGGGCAGCAGCCCAAATGGCCTAGAAGAATGGATAAAGAAACTATGGTACATACACATAATGGAATACTATGCATTCCTAAAAACAGTGATAAAAGTGGGAAACAGCATGACATGGAAGAGTCTAGAAAGCATTATGCTGAGTGAAGTAAGTCAATCACAAGAGGACAAATATTGTATGAGCACACTACTACACGGAGAGACGCCAATTAAATCTTAGGGACCAATTCCTGAACAACAAGGGAAAGGTTTCCTACTGGCCAGGAACGATACACTACCTCCCTTACATGCGCTTCACAAGAGCCACCTTCAAAGAGGAGAGCTCACATTGGCTGGGGCTACTCCTTCCCAAAGGGGGGACAGGGGAGAACATCCACTTGATGCTATACAACATTGGGACAAGGCTGTGACATGTCAATGGGCACTCCACAGGACTGGAAGGAGGACCAAGTTAAGACCAGGGGAGGGGAACTTCTACATTGTGGAGGAGACACTGATATTTCTGTTGGCGAGTGTATGGCAAGTGAATGAGGAGGAACAACCTCGCATCGGGAAGGGGTGCTAAACAACGATTATAGGGAACCTATTGGAGCAAAAGGGAGACCAGATTTGATGCTCCTGATTAGACACTATGAATACGTTTTGACCTAGCCCTCAATAAACCATGCCATGGACTAAGCACCGCGATGCCCTTGGACGCTGGCCTTTCAGACAGCATGGCATCCCCCAGAAGTACTCAACTGAATGAACTGAGCCCTGCCTCGAAGCAGCCAGTAACCTTAGACTGAGGACTGAGGTACTCCTGCTGGGAGAGGAACCAGAGAGTGGTCACCCAGGCTGTGGAAGTGGCAGTCATTGGACCTTGCGGGGGACCACTGGCTTGGAGGGCGATCAATGGAAAGGGTCCCAGAGTTACCATATATTTAGTACCTAGATGGCTCCTTTACATTGATATGGCAGGTCTTGGTTGGGCAAGGATTTGCACTTGAAAGAATTGATCCAGGAAGTTTTGCCCTTCCCCAGCTCAGAGTAAAGCGAGGAGCTCAGTTGATTGGGAGATCAAACTGTGCAGGGCGGCTTAAGGTAGATTTGTGCTCAAATAGACTCCTCATACCAACAGTGTCTGGAATTCTGTATCATTGGAAAAATTGTTGATGTTGTCAGTGCAATCACCTTATACCCCAGCGGGGGGGAATGATTGATAATGTTTTTCTTTTTTGTTTTTTGAGGTTTTGTTTTTCTGCTTTTTATTTGTATTTTTGTTTGCTGGTTGATTTGTTGCTGTTGTTAACTTTGTTGGTCTTAGGGAGTTTTGTTTTTGTCATAATACAACTGCCAAAGTAAACCAGAGTCAGGCATAACCCGTGGACAAGCAGATGGATTCTGGGCTCCCACTAAACTCTAGCCCCAATCCAAGAACAGTTAGTTCTAAAAACATAGCCCTGCTCAATACTCACCTTCAAGAAATGATCACTGAAGATAAGGGTGTAACAAGATAAGGGTGTAACAGCAAACGGGTGAAGAAAGCAGATGTGCCCTGTTATCAATTTGAATAGCGTCTGGGGTCTTACAGGCATATGAATACTTCAAACAAGCAGTCATCGAAGTGAGGAGTCAACTAAGTCCACATGTTAGAAGCACAACAGCTTGTGTGCATGAAATATGACAATAACAAAACCCAAATAAGACGAAGGAAAAAGAATCAGAGCTTAAATTGTAAACACCCAAATTACAGAAGGCTATGGAGGACAGTGGGAGGCTAAACCCATCGACAGAGTATCTAGACAGATTAAGCTTTTGGCAGACCCCTCTAACCACAGGCAAGGGACTCACACAGAACAAACAGAGATCCCTGTAAACTTGATTATGCTGGATCAAACCTGATACTTGGTCAGTTGACCTCCCCCTTGACCCCACCTGAATCTGTTCTAGGTTCAAGTATTTCTTGCTTGTTCCATGACAAAAATTCCTTCACTGGCTGTTAAATATTGATGGTCTTTTCTTTTATTCATTATTTGTATTTTTATCTTTATATCATTATTATTTTATCCTCACCATTTTATTTTATTTTTTATTTTTTCTGTTGGTTTCCCAGTTTGTGAAGAACAGAGGAGTAGATGCATACAGATAATAACTTATGCAATGGTTTATTGGGGGTGTGAGGTGGGGGGAGAGGGAGATAGGGAGGGTGAGGGGATTTGGGGAGCAAACAATGAATGCGGGAGGAGGAAAGAGCACTAGAACTAATTGTGATGATGTACATACAACTCATTGTTAAAGCAATTTAAACAGGGAAGAAAAGAAAAGAAACCAACTTGACCAGTGGGTAACATGGGCGAGGGGACAAAGTTGTTGCGTGGGGGCATTCGGTTTTTGTCAATGGTGGTAGAATAATTTGGAAAAGGATATCAATAATGGTCGTACAACACAAAGAGTATAATCAATGGCACTGAATTATACAAGTAGAAGTTGTGGAATTGGAGAATGTTCTGGTGTGTATATTTTTGCCACGATCAGAGAAAAAACTTACATATATAACAATGACTGTAAGGAGGAAGAAAATGCTCTAAAACTGAATATGGTGACACCTACACAACTCTTCTTGATAGCACTGAGTTACTGACTTGTATGGCATCTAGATGAAATGATAATAAAACTGCTAAAAAAATAGGTAATAATAAAAATGGGATGAGAGGTACTTCTAAAATATTACCTGACAGGTCTGGGCAATACATACTGGCTAGCACAACTGTTCTCTCGAGAGCACACCTTACTTCTCTTCCTAAGAATTAAAGCGAGAAAGGGAAGGAATTCTTCCCTTTGCTGACACATTTACAGCCCTATTTTTCCCTTCAAACTTGTCATCTTATTAAAGATGGAGCTGCAACCATTCTGTCACTACCATTCCAATAAAAGACAGAAGAGAGAAAAATTCAAAGCAAGCGCTGCGGCAACTAACAAAGTACCTAACAGAAACAATAGCATGGAAAACACCCCTGAAAAAGAGGAATAATGTCTACTTGAAAAGTGTTAAGTTAGTATGCAGAGTAGTTACAACTACCAACAGCAAACATAGAATCAGCTACTAACCTCAAAAATGTAAAGAGAGATGAAAAAGAAATTTTGACAGCTCTTAGGTATAACTAAGTGGTAGGCATGAGGCTGTGCACTGGAGGTGAGAACCGGAAGTCATAACATAGGCTTCTTACCTTCTTCTGAAGAACATTAACCTTCCGCTCCTTCACATCCAGCATGTCCTTCAGGTCATGTATTTCTCCTGCTTGTGTGCCCTTCTCCTCCGCCATTTCTTGAATTTGTTTGGTCTTTTTATTCAGCATGGTTTCCTTCTCTTCTAAACGCAATCGGAGAGCATCCACCTCAAAATGTAAACAAAAGTTTAAAGGATTAGTTTAAAAGAACTTAACGTAATTCCTTCCAAATGTCTATCGTTGTCCAAATGCTATACTTGTCTGGTAAATATTTAATTAGAGTCAAATATAATACTACTCTCGATGTAACTGTCATCATTTAGAAATTAAAGTCTGAAACTTTGTGGGCATTTTTATAATAATAGATTTTAAATCAGTGACATTGATTATATGAGAATATATAGATCTGAATCAATGACAAAAAATGGAGAATTAAATTAAGAGATTATAAAGAAGTTGAATTTTCTACTTCTACACTTGATCTTAGCCAAAAGGCCGAGAAGCGATACGTTTTCTACTTCTATAAAACTGTTTCTCAGGGAACACCGAGTTTATGTTAACAGTGGTGGAAAAATTTGGAAAAAGAAATCAATAATAGTTGCACAACACGAACAGTAAAATCAATGGCACTGAATTATACAAGTAAGAAGTTGTTGAATTGAAGAATGTTTTGTTGTGTATATTTTTACACAATTAAAAAATAACTACACTAATAACAATGAGTACCCGGAAGAAGAAAATGTTCTAAAATTGATTGTGGTAATGATTGTACTATTAAACTATATGACTGAGCTATTGAATTGTAGGACATATGGATGAAGTGCCAGTGAAACTGTTTAAAAAAAAAAAGTTTCACGTTTTGTCCATCAAAATTACCTGGAAGACTTCCTAAAACACAGAGTGCTCTGCCTAGCCAAAAGAGTTTCTGATTCAGCAGGATGGTGTTCAATATTTAGTATCTCTGTTCTAGAAACTTAAAACCGGGGGCGGGGGTTGGGTGGGGTGGGGGGTGGAAATACACACAGCTATCACAAGTATGACACGTATTGCATTAGAGTACAGTTTAGCCCTACGGTGTAATGCGTTCAGGACAGAGAGTCTAACCATGCATTTAGGTCTCCATATAAGGCAAAAGCAAAGGCCTACTTTTAGATCTCAAGACTCATCAGCTAGAGCCAGCTATCTAGTTACTTGTTTCCCTGACATTTAACAGGTGTCATTAAACAGAACAGTAACGTCACTGGAAATCTAACATTTTACAATCCGCTGACAACTAATTTCATTCAGTTTTTGGTTACTTCATGTATACTTATACATTCCTTTTATGTGGACGTTCTCCTTTTCCACCAGTGAATAATAATTCTGCTAACATTTACACATTTGATTACAGCAAAAGAGAATTAGATTTCTTTCACCAATGACAGGGATGTCTTACAGACATATAAGGAATATATGCTAGCCACATATGTAATTTAAAATTTCTATTATATATTAAAATGCAAAAAACAGGTAACATCAAGTAATAATCAATTAAATGACAACAACGTTGGGTTTCTTGTGCTCGTTTGTTTGTTTAACCACATTTCTATCTCTCTGTCAAGACTCACTGTGCTAGTTAGATTTTTTGTGCCAACATGGCACCCTTAAGAAGATAATGGGTGGGATTTAGCCTGTCGATCAGGTCGCAGCTTGATGACCACACTTGGAGGTGCCACCTAGATAAATGGCTCTCTAGAGGCAGGCCACTTTCTCTGCCTTCACCTTCCAGTTGACGATCCAAGCAGAGACCTGCACAAGTCCCGTGATGCTTCTAATGCCATTGGATCCACAAGACTTTTCAGCGACCAGCCTGTGATCTTCCTGCATTTTGCATAATTGCATATAGCTGTGAGAACCTGAAGAGGACCTTTGGACTTGAGTTGGATGGACTGGGATGTTTTCCTGATGCCTAACTATTTCTTAATAAAAATCCCTTTCCTACACATATATGAGTGTCTCTGGATTTGTTTCTCTAGTGAACCTGGTCTAACACACTCACCAAGCAAGTAATGGAGGAAACAATCTTTTTTAGGTCCCATTTGTAAATCAGCATCACAAGTTTCTACCATGCCTTCTCAATAAAAATCCTTTTATCTCTAAATTAATGCTGATTCTACTTCAATATCATATATGACTAACCTTATTGTAGAAAAGTCCACCTAAGAACTCTAAATATTGTTTTTTCTAAATCAAACACTACTTATTCATTCATTTCTTATTCCTACTCAATCTATTCTTTGTCCATAGTATAAGCTCTGATTCATAAAAATCATCTATCTTTTCTTATCACTCGCCTCTATCTTCCAGTACCTTTCCTTCATGTCTGCTTTACAACTCTTCACTTCTGTATGATAGTTTTCTTTAGCCAACTCTATGCAACATAAAGACATTAAATACAGATAGACAGATAAATATAGGTATCTCTAAAAGATGAAACTAGAAAACTTCAAATATCTGAGAATAAAAACATAACTCAATAAGATGATCCAAGAGAAAGTTGCAGCAGCAGCAGCAGCAGCAGCAGCAGCAGCAGAACCAAGAGCCAGAGCACGAGACAGAGCAGTGCCTTTCCCAAACCTAAAGAGAAACTTAAAGCTCCTTAGGGCAGGAGGCTGGCTGTGGAAAAGGAATCTCTAGGCTCCGAATTGGGGAAGCTAGGGCTGCTGAGCTGAGTACCTTCAGGCTGATGCATATGGCAGAGCTGTGTGCCTTTGAGCACTGACTGACAGCCCTAAAAGAGCTTTGTACCACTACCTAAGCGGACAAAGCCTAAGCCAAAGAGAGGCCTTCTTGCTGGCACAGCAGAGAAGAAAAGTCTGTCCTGACTGATTAACTGTATCCAGGGCATTTCTCACCCAAATGTAACCTATTACGGTAATTTCCCTCTAAACCCTATAGCCATGAGTGTCATCTGGGAGTTGAGTGATCGAATCCAAATGAGAAGTAGAAAGTGCTGTGTGAGGAATGGTTAGTATCAGAACTGGAAAGAAAGCTGGAAGACGGTAGCATGTCTGACCTCAGCCTCAAAGGAATCAGCCTTGTGTAGCTGGTGCTCATGGGGCTGACTCTCCTCCTCTCCCTGTGTGAAACCTGAGGAGGTCGGAGGCCACCCCACATCCATTTCTTTTTACAGGCAGGGAAGATTTTTTTCTTTAAAATGGCACAAAAAGGATACATCACAAGGAACAGTACTATTTACAAAGTTAAAAATTTTAAGTGTCTGCATATCAAGACACCATTATAAAATGTTTCTTTCGTTATTGCAACTATTTTTTATGTGCCGAAGATATTTCTTAATAAAAATAATACTAAAGTATACAGAAGAGTCCTGGGGGTAAAGTAGGTTACACATTGGGCTGCTAACCACAAAGTCAATAGATCAAACCCACCAGCTTCTCTGCAGAAGGAAAATGAGGCTTTCTACTCTCATGAGGATTTGCGGTCTTGGAAACCCACAGGGGCAGTTCTATCTGCCCATGGGGTCCCCATGAGGAAGAACAGGCTCAATGGCAGTGAGTTCCATTTTTTGGATAAAGAGGTAAAACAATAAAATGCTGGTGAACAAAATCCAAAAGCTAAACAAATTAGTTCTTCCCTTGAATGTTTGGATATTCTGCGAATAGTAAACTAGTGTTCACATGTGTCCGGGTAGCCAACCTAAACAAAAAGATTTGCAGTAATATAAAATGTTTATTACTGATCAAAGAGCAGGACGTTAGTGAGTCCAAGATTTGTGAATTCGTGAGATGTTACACTAAACTTCCCAGTTGGGGTGTCTAGATTCAGCAGAAACACTTGAACGTTGGTTAAGAATAAAACCCACTGCAAACAATGATGAATTCTATGACCTATCTAATGGTTTTCTCTAAAGTACAAGATGACAAAACTCTCATTTTTGCTTGTCTACTTTCAAAATCAGAAACACTCCACCATGCAAAGAAAGGGAAAATGGTCCAATAAAGAAATATCAGACCAGATTGAATATTGATTAAGCTATGAGAAAAGGCTTGCCACCAGAGAGTAAAGACCATTGTTGAATATTAATTCAACAGCCAGGCTGTTCAAGATGCCAAAAGGACCCATTGACCCTTATCCACTTGGCATTCAGGCACAGCTCAAGCCAGCCTGCATGGCTACTAATCCTATTTGACAGTATCAGATTTGGTTCCTGTTAGCTGAATCCATTACAGGGCATCAGTCATGGTGAGTAATGAGGGCACTTATTGAACCCTTTGACCCTTCTGCAAAGTTAAGGAGGTCAGGGTCTTAGAAAAAAGTATGCTGTTGTTAGTTGTGGTTGAGTTGATACAGACTCCTGGTGACTCCATGGGTGCAGAGCAGAAACTGCTCCATGGGGTTTTCGAAGCTGTGACCTTTTGCAAGTATATGGCCAGGCCTGTCGTCTAAAGCACCTCTGGGGGGTGCTAACCCTCAGCCACTTGGCTAGTATTTGAGATTTAATCACCGGTGCCACCTGGGAACTACTCAGAAAATTACACATTATAGAAATTTTTAAAATAAATCAATCACGTGCTAACCATTTGCATCTAATTTCCACTTACAACTCAGTAAGTTGTATACATTTCCACATTACAAATGCCTAGCCAATAATACAACCCAAAAAGAAAACTTACTTTTAAAAAAACAAACATTATTTTACCTCGCATCACCTAAATACACTAATTTTTTAAAAATCATTTTGAGGGCTCGTACAATTCTTATCACAATCTATACATACACCAATTGTGTCAAGCACATTTGTACATTTGTTGCCATCACCATTATCAAAACATTTGCCTTCTACTTGAGCCCTTAATATCAGCTCTTAATTCTCCCCCTCTCCTCACTCTCCCCTCCCTCATGAACCCTTGATAATTTATAAATTATTATATTTTGTCATATCTCACACTGTCCGACGTCTCCCTTCACCCACTTTTCTGTTGTCCATCCCCCAGGGAGGAGGTTATATGTAGATTTGGTAATCGGTTCCCCATTTCTACCCCACCTTCCCTCCACCCTCCCTCCCGGTATCACCACTCTCACCACTGGTCCTGAAGCGGTCATCTGTCCTGGATACCGGTTCCTATCTGTACCAGTGTGCATCCTCTGGTTTAGCCAGATTTGTAAGG